AGAAATCCCATTTAGGAATTGCTTTAAAGGCTGAGTTCATCTTTGCCACTTTTGCTTAAGAAGCTTTAGTACAACAGATTTCTGATTTAGCACCCTCACTAGGATTTACAAGCTCCAGTGGCCTAGAGGCAAGAAAATGAGCTGCAATCCCGAAGGCATGCAGTTCGAGGCCACCAGCTGCTCTGCAGGAGAAGATGAGCAGTCTCCACCTGGGCAATTAACTGCCTCTGAAAACCTGTCAGAGGGTCTGCTATGGGTCAGTTCCAACTCAATGGTAAAACAACAACAAAACAAATTAGAATGGTCACCCTTTGATCTTGTTAATGAGATTACTAAAACCGCCTTCCCACTAAACAGATATCATTGCACTTGTATCGATATGGAGAAAAGTAGAGGTTTTAAAAAAGATTACCCAGAACTTCTGCCTTCTCTCATCTCCTTGTTTGTTTTTTTTCTCCCTACATAGGAATGTAACTTTTGTACTAATTTTTCCTTTCTTTGCCTAGAAGTATCTGCCACATTCTGCTCTAATTCCTCCTGCACTCAGTGTATCTTTTCTCTTACTTTTAGGCAGTCTTTTTTTATCACTCTTCCCTGTGTTTGGAAGACATTCTCTCTTGATCTCTGTGTTGCTCTCAGCTATTCCTATACAACCACACTTTAAAAGATATATAAGTACCTTCATTGCCATTCATTTGTCAGCTCTGCCTTCTGTACTTGCTGGAAGTTGTTAAGTGCTGTCATTTGACTACAATTTGTAGTGACACTATGAACAACAGATCTGAACCTTGCCTTGTCTTCACTGTTTCTAACATGCTTAAGCTCATTATTAGAGACACTGCATCAGTCCATCTCTTGATGACCTCTCTTTCTCTGACCCCCACCTTTCCCAGCATGGGGTCTTTTACCAAAGACTGGCCCCTCCTGATAAAATGCTGAAATGAGTAGTAAGTAAATGTGCTGCCAACCTAGAAGCACACAGTTTGAATCCACTAGCTGCTTCTTGGAAGAACGATGGACAGTCTCCTCCAGTGAGATTTACTACCTCTGAAAACCCATGGCGGAATCGCTTCTTGGCCTTTTGGCTAAGATCAAGTGAAAACCCATGGCGGGTTGGTTCCTATATGATGCTACATACCAGTGCCTCACCAACTAGGCCACCAAATCTCAACTCACATATTAGTTAATGGGGTTTCTGAAGGTTCTAGCTTTTGTCATTTTATCTGTGCTCTTTTGGGTAACCTTATTCAAGTTCATTGCTTCAGTTTTAACTTTAAATTCATTATCTGCCATCCTCTCTGCCCATTTATTTAGAATGCTGTCTCTTTCCTCCTTTATATAAAGTAAATCAACAGATTCTTTTTATTAAATTTATTAATTCTTTTTATTAAAATTTATCTCCAATAAGTCACTTCCTGAAAAGTTCTCCTGCTTCTACTTCATATAGAAAAATATTTCCAAAATGCAAATCTAGTTTAAACATTTTTCAGATGTACTACCCTGTGGTGCAGTACATCTGAAAGTTCTAGTAAAGCATAGGTTACTTCTCTTTTCTCTCTACCCTCTCCATGGGTGAGCTCAATTCCTGTAGCTTTAAATATCATGTAGATGCTAATGAATGCCAGATTTATATCTTTAGCTCAGCCAGCTCCTCTGAGCTCCAGGCCCCTGGCCAAGCTGACTTTTCAACTTGGATGTTTCTTAGTCTTCTCAAACTTGTGTCTTCTGCAGAACTTTTTGTTTTTGTTTTTCTTTTAAAAAACATTTTATTCTTTTAGTCATTTCTATATCGGTACAGCTGAACAGTAAACATTTTGTTCACATAAAATTCATGACCTCTTCTTTCCACTTGGATACTCGCTGATCCAGTTTGATTCCACCCCAGAATATATCGTATGTTCTCTTCATGTCTGTACCATGGATTTCAGCATGGGCCTTCTAAGCGTTCTCCCTGTGTCTGATCTCTCCACCTTCCAGCTTCTTAATTTTTCAGCGGTGCAGCTCATCACCATTGAGTCAGCAGGCGCAGAGCTGAGCTCAGAGGCTGGGGAGGCTGTTGCCCATCTTTCTCCCTAGTTTCCTCTGGATTCAAACTGCCATAGAGGTGCTGCCTTTAGGTTAGGAGGCCACCAGTGCTTCCTTAAGTCAGTCACTTCCTTTTCTGGGGACCATGGTAGTAGTTTGGGGTTAAGCATCAGACTACTAACCAGAAAGTTAGTTGTTCACTGCTGCCAGTTGCTCCTAAAGCAGAGGAGGCAGTCTGCCCATGTTTAGATTTCTAGCCTTAGAAGCCCTATGAAGCAGCTGTACCCTTCAGAATTAGAATTAACTTGACAGCAACGTGCTGGATTTGCTTTTGCTTCCTTTGCTTAAGTCGCAGTTGTGTCCCTTTAAAGCCCTTCAAGTCCAAGTTCTCTCCTTGGTTTGAGGCCTTCATGATGTGTCCCATTGTTTTGTTCATTCTCTCTTGGGCTGCTCTGCACTCTGCTCCCATGCACCACCACTTACTTACCTTAGTGAGAAACCATCTTGGGCCGACATGTTTTGTTTCCTTTCTTGCAGTAGTCTTCACAGGACTGGCTGGATCTCAAGCTTCATGCCTCACGTGCAGGCAACTTTCTTTCCTTGTGAGCTTACTTAAAGTAGGCCCCTATATTATGCTAGGCCTAAGGACCCTAGTTATTGCCCTGCACTCATAATAACTGCCACTGCCACATTTTTTTATTGTTAATCATCTCCATTGGACTGTAAGCTGTAGGAAGACAAGGCCTGTGTTTGTTAGCAACACCTAGCACAGTTCGTTGATAACTCTGCTGTTGTTCGCCTCTTCGTCTTTCAGGGCTTACCTTCATCTTTGCCCTTTGTTTGGTACCCCTCCCCCATCCGACCATTCCTTCCGGGGTGCCATAGCATCAGTTCCACATCAATTGCAGTCATCACATGGTGTACCTTTTCTTCTAAGATGGAAACTCTTTGAAAGAGATTTTTCTCTAAATCCCATAGAAGAATTGAGAGCCTGAGTTGTCCATAGCCAAAAATCAGCAGCAGCATTGCTAGGACACAGTAAAGCTGGATTGGTAGGAAGATGGGCCATCATGTTTAAAGTCAGAGTTATGTCCTCAATCCAGAAAGGAAATCTAAAAAAGTTTTGGAAAAATACTGACAGGAGATTGGCAAAAGCTGTGATACAGTCTCCTCTTATAATCTGTAAGAGCCAGGAGAAGAAGACCACATAGACTTCTCACTGAGCAGACGTAAGGCTTTAGAGAAGCAGCCTGGTCTGACCAACTTCAGTGAGTTCTTAGGAAGAATAGTTCATGAGGCTGCTCTATGGTCTGGGCTGTGCTGACTCTGTTCCTAAAGTAGTTTTTGTTGATTTCAGTTTCCAACTGAAAGGATTTCAAGATTGTTGTGGTCATTAAGTGTTGGGTGACTTGCAAATTTACAACTTTGCCTTACTCTGTATTCACTTAACATGACTCTGATTGAGTCAGGCAGTGAGAGCTAACAACCACATTCTTAGGAATCCCTCAGCCTGTCTCTCCTGTGGACCATCTCAGGCAACCAGTTGGCTCTTGTAGTCATTACTGGTGCCTCTTTTTGCTTGGTAATCAGTGTGGGCAGGTTTTACACATTCTGCTTTAGTATTTTCAAGCTGATTGCTTCTATTTTGTCTTAAATGGAAAAGGAAATTAAGAAGTAAGTTTTAAAAATAAATTTCTTAATAGATGAGTACAAACATCTTAAAAATGTAACAAATTAAATTCTTGGATGGTTTTTGAGTTATTTATTTCTGTAAGAGTTATAGAGAATTCTACACTCTAGTATTTGAATGAAAATGTTTTAAAGAGGAGATATATAGCACTTTAAATTACAGATGGTAATTTAGCTTTTTTTTTATAACCAAGGTAAATTGATGACTACAAACCAAGAGTGATTGGCTGTCACTCTGTGACATGACATGAGTTTATAACACACTCACTTCCACCAACTTGACTCAACTCATAGGGACCCTCCATATAGTTTCTGATGCTAAATCTTAATGGGAGGAGACTGCTCATTTTTATCTCTCATAGCAGCTGGTGGATTTGAACCTCTGGATTAGCAGCACAGTGTCCTACAGACTATGCTCCCTGAGTTTCCTATTTATAACACAGGTAGGTAGTACCAGTTGCAGAGTATGCAGTCTTACCAAGGCAGAACAGCAACCAGAGAATTAAAGGAGCCTGGGACTTGAATGCAAAACTAAGGCTCAGTTTTCCCACTTGTACTATAGTGTATAAGAGTAATTTATGATGATCATTGGGGAAGAAACCAACATAAAATAGTATGAATGTAAACGGAATAATTGTGTTTTGATTATCAGTAGACAAATATTGCTTGTGTTAGCAATATTCAGCAAAGTTTTCAGTTAGGATATTCTAATTTCTTTGAAGAAAAAAATAACCCAAGTGGTAAACTCTAAAGTACAAATGAAATAAGCTGAAAATGATATGAAGTGTTGGACTGGTTAATTGTAGATGTTTCCATGCTTAGCAAATCTTGTTTTAAAAAAAATGTATACACAGCAGATTAAATTTCTGCAAATTCAAACTAAAAAAAAAAGTACACAAAAGCAAATATTTGGGGGAACTTTTGAAAAGTGAAATGATAATAGGAAATAAAAAGCACAGGTAGTTGCTGTTAGGGTTTTACTAATGTGTTAGTTACAGCTCTAGGTCTTTGGTCCTGTTTTTCTGGTAATACTACAAAAAGAAACTATCACTTGGTTTTGATAGGTACTTATAATTTCGATAATGTGTTTTACAAACATTAAGAGCATCATAGTATTGTGTCATCTTCATTGGGTTTTAGTATAATGTTGTTGTTGCTGATTGCCTTCGAGTTGAGCACAACTCGAAGAGACCCTATGAACAAAAGGACTGAAGCCTTTCTATAACTATTGACATTTATCAAAGTTGCTATAATAATTTTTATTTATTGTATCCTGATTTGAACAGGAGGGAAACATGCCTCTAGAAGATTTACTGGCCTTCTATGGCTATGAACCTTCAATTCCAGCAGTTGCAAATTCTAGTGCAAATAGCTCCCCAAGTGAACTTGCAGATGAGCTGCCAGATATGACATTAGACAAAGTAAGTACAGGCATTTAAAAGAAAAATTCAGAATCTGTTCTCTCTGACAATTTTTCACTTAACTCTCTTTAATAAAAAACATTTTTTTTAAAATGTAAATGTACTGACCCATTGCCTTTAGCATTCTGTGATTGATTTAAACATTGACTTTTAATTATTCTACTTGAAAGAGAGTAGTAGTAGCATAATAAGACTATGTATACTTGAGTATTCTCTGGTAATTTTTTTCATATCTCTTGGGCAGACATACTGCATCTAAACAAATTTTGCCTTATCTTTTTTTAACTCATCAATCCCTTATAAGCCTTCAAACCAGGCTGTTTTCGGAGTGGAATAGTTGGCACTAAGTTCTATTTCTTAATGACCCAAGAGTGACAGTGGCAATGGTAGCCATAGTCACAATGATTTGGCTCTATATGGGCTGGTTTCGGGGAGGCCCAGAACCTGTTGAAGAAAATTTACGCAGCTGTCTGTGGTCTCCCTAACTGACCAGTAGGGCAAAAGAAGCTCTTCCTGCTTGGAAAACTTGCCCCGTCTTTCAGATGAAGCAGGGAGAAGAATCCACTCTTTGGTTGTGTGATTCCCACATTTGGTGACAAAAATCTTCTAGTTAAATGTGATATTAATGTACCAGAGACCCTATTGGCCACAGCGGATGCTCATGTAGTAGAGTCACCATAACTGAGCACAGGGCTGACATAACACTCTCAGAAAGATGAATTTGAGCTTGTTTCTTTTCACATTATATCACTAGTCCAAGCTTTCATTATTGGACCCCTAAATAGTTGGAAACTTTTTATGTTTTCAGTTTTGTTTTACTTATCCTGACAGGAAGTGAGTATAATTACTAACAACTTAGAAGTCAGATTTGTTTTTCCCTTTTGTTGTAAATTCATTATATATTAGTTTGTAATTTTGAATAAGTGCTGCGCTCCCCCAGATTAGGCAAATTGTTCCTGTTAGAAGCATTAGTGTGTAATAGTATGGTTACTAATGTTATTTCATATTTTTGTACATGAAGTAAATTACAGGAGCATAACAAATTTCTACTGTAAAATGACACTTCTTAATTGATTAAATATAGTGATTTCTAATTCTACTATTGCCTTCCTGTTCTTCCAGGAGGAAATAGCAAAAGACCTGTTATCAGGTGATGATGAGGAGACTCAGTCTTCCGCAGATGATCTGACACCATCTGTGACCTCCCATGAGACTTCTGATTTCTTCCCTAGACCTTTAAGATGTAAGAAACCCAATCATTACTGGTTAATAGGAGCAGTGATAGTGTGAAGGCATTCTATTCAGTTCAGTTTGTGTTAAAATATGCCAGTGTTTTACCTAAGTGAAATAATACTATGAACAAGATAAAGCCTTTTTTTTAGTGCAGTGTAGGTGAACTAATAATGCTGTTTAAAGATTAACACATTCACTTAATTTTATATTGCTCTTTAGTTTCTTTTCCAATATTCGTTAGTTACTATAGTAACTAGTCTTAGATCAACTAGAAAATGTTTGGGTTTCTTTTACAAAGCTCTCGCCTTCCTGATTTTGAAAACTATCAGTGTTTTTAAAAAGTTTTGTTTTGTTTATGATCTGTTTGCCTTTGTTTATTGTGGGGTTTTGGTTTTGTTTTTTACTTTTAATTCCTTGTGTTACATTCGAAGGGGTTTTAGTAATAGTAATAAAGAGCTTGGCTGCATAGTGAGGTATAATAAAGGCTCTGGACAGGGATGCTCCCTTCACTTCCTGGTTGGTGACATGTGAGTGGGTAGCACAGCCTTTTTTTGGGACATGGAGGCTCTGAGTTGGGAAGTCTCCCAAACCTTGCCTTATGCATTTCTTCACTTATATCCCTCTTTCATGTAATAAAGCTATAATCACAAGTACACCCTCCTCCCTTATGAAGGTATCTTAGAACTGAAGTAGTTCTTGATGTGCAGTATAGGATTAGATCTCCTATTTTTCTTTTTCTTTCTGATTCCTTTTTAACTGATTTGAGTAAGAGTTTACAAAGCAAATTGATTTTTTTCATTTATTTTTAGAGTTATTTTTATGGTGGTGGTGGTGGTGGTGGTTGTTAGGTGCTGTCGAGTCATAGACAACTCATAGCGACCCTATGAGCGAAAGGCCTGAGCACTGTTCATACATAGAGTTTCCGGAGGCAAGCCATTTCAGAAGTGGATGCCACTCCTGCTTCCAGGCTTGTTTTAGTCGGGAAGCTCCAGCAAACTCTGTTTTTATGGTAGAAGAGCTATTTGGTCGACACATTCAAATACATTTGCATGTATTTGATAGTTTGATGGACACAAGGTGGAACTCTTAGTGTGCATCATTCTGGGATTAGAATAATCAGAACCCTGATACTTATTTTTAAGACAACCCACTGTTAATAGCACACCATCCTTAAAGCCCAAAGTGGTTGTTGGGATGTTTCTGCTTCACCAGGTTTCTGAGGCTGTAAATGTCAAGAGGAGACTGACTGCTCGTCTTCCTCTCTCAGCCACTGGTGGGTTGAAAAGCACCCGTTAGCTTGGCAGGACAACTTGCTGTGGGCTATGCACCAGAATTCTCTACACTGTCCTAATTATAAGGACATCATATGCTTTCTTAGGGTTTTTAGCATCTTACTGTGTTTAATACTGAAATAGTGAAAGACACTTGGTTTATTTACCTTGACCTTATTTGTTCAGTACATTTGTGTAGAATACCTTGTGCTCCCTTGATGCTGCACCATGAAAGAGACAGCTAAAATATATTTTTTTCTCATTTTAGCAAATACTACATGTGATGGGGATAAAGAATCAGAGGCTGAAGATGTTGAAACAGACAGTGGCAACTCGCCTGAAGAGTTGAGAAAGGTATGTTTAATCACTGTCACCCTAAGTAGATTGTCACCAGACAAGTAGATTTTAAAAATATATTTCTGAAATAATAACTTCAGTTTATTATTATAATATAAAGGGGTGTTGGGTTTTTTTTAGTTTGGGTTTAGAGTAACCGATAAGAAGTGAGTGAGGCTTTTCAATTTCTTTTTAATTAATTATTTTTATTTCTGAATTTTCCTGTAGGAAATAATGATTGGTTTCCAGTATCAGGCAGAGATTCCCCCTTATCTTGGAGAGTATAATGGTAATGAGAAAGGTAAAGAAAACTTTTGATTTGATCAGTGTTTCATCGAGTAAGTTACATTTTGATAATGTTTTTTTTAAAATACCTGATTACCTACCTCAGCTGTATTGCAGTAGGTTTTGGGGCCCAGGTTAGCTACCACAGTCGGGGTATTCAGGCTTGACGTAGGAAAAGTGTGTTAAAGTTAGCATGTGAATCAAGACACACCTGGTACAGTGCTCTTGGGCAGTATACTCAACACCTGTTAAACTAGTGCCATTCCTTTTAACAGGTAACCACTTGATCTGTGGTCTACACCACTGGGAAAGGGTGGAATGTTATTGCTGAAAGAATGAGAATGTTGAAAAAAAAAAGAATGAGAATGTTGGGGTAGAATTATCTAGGAAAGAAAACTCTTAAGTAAGCAAAAAGGTAAAAAAACCCCTTGCATTGTCCCAACCCCAAAAGTGCAAAGTATTTCCAGCGCTAGGACAGTATAAGGGTTCTGGTTTCTTTTGCTGAACTTTCTGCCCTTACTTGATGTATCAAGTGTTCTTTAGTTTCTCCTCACATTTTGGTAGTGTTCTCAAGGTATAGAGAAATGTTGTGGAAGAATGAGATGCAAGTACAATTTTCTAGCTGAATTTGGGAACCAAATAGATTGGGAGTATTCCTATGAGTTTCTCTGATAGGTTGATGCCATCCTGTGAAGACAGGAGGGCAGAAGCCACACGGCAAGCATGGCACTCAGTGTCCACCCCCACTTCCTCCGTGCTGGGTTATCTTCTGTCAAAATGAAGAGAAATTGGGCTCATTAGTATTAGCAGCTCCTAGCAACACTTGTTTTTCTCTAAACTTCTCTTAAAGTGACAGGTGATGGTCCTCCCCAGATAAGGAAACTGATAAGTAGTTGATTAAATTCAGGTGCCACAGCCTCCACCCATCACCCAGGTACTGCATACACCCCTGGAAACAAGTACATGCTGAGTATCTATTGGGCCTTACGTTAAACATAATGTAGATAATGTTCTCTCTTTCACAAACCCTGGAAGGAGCCCTGTTGGCATACTGCTCAAGGTATTAGACTGCCAACTGAAAGGCCATTAGTTCAAATCCACTTGCTGCTTCACAAGAGAAAGAGGGGACGTCTCCTTCAATGAAGATTTACATCCTCAAAAACCCAGTGGCTGGAACTGACTCAATAGCAGTGGGTTTTATCATAGATTTAAAGGCTGGAATGTCCTGGAAACAAGGGCATATTGGTTGAGGCATCCGTATTACTTCCTTGTATGGAGTAGAAGTTTTAGGTGAGGCTAAACCTTATTTTAATGACATCTTGTGTATCAGCCTATCATCCTCTTTAAGAGACTGAGGAAAGTTTACCTGACTGCTTACCATGCTTTCTTTAGGGAGTTCTGATTAAACTACTTCCTGAATCTTTAAGTAAAAATTCACTCTTAGAAAGAAATTGGTAATACTTAAATAATAATTGTATTAATAAATAAGGACATCAGTACATCATCAAATACTTTTATTCTAGATCTTTATTCTGCTTGTAGTTTTTTATTTTTAGGGTTTTTTTTATCCATTTAGGTAACTGAAGAGATAAGAGCACGAGGATTATTAAAACATTTACTCGTTCTTAAAGATTTTAAACTGTTTTTCACCCCTTCATTAGGGCATTGTAAGATACCACTACTGAGTGTTAAGCTTTACTAGGCATAGAAAAGTTGAGGGCCAGCCAAAGAGAAAAAGCCTCAGTAAGATGGATTGGCGTTCTTTTGTGCATAGGGCGGCTGGGAGTCAGAGCGACTCAGCGGCACCTGACAACAGGCATGGGAATTTTTCAGTCTAGTCACCAAAAAGCTGTTTGCTCTAACCACGGGGGCCTTTAACCTATAGTAACATTAAAAAAATATTTTTACATTTTAACTTTTACAGTTAAAAACTATATTTGCTAGATATTTAAAATGAGCCTTTCAATGTTAGTTTCTGGTCCCATTGTTTAGCCAGTCAGGAAGGGAAAGAACAGTTTGTGTATATATTTGAGTATGCTCATTAGTTTTAATATTCTTTATCAGTGTATGAAAATGAAGACCAGTTACTTTGGCAGCCTGGTGTGGTTTTGGAAAGCAAAGTTAAGGAATACCTTGTTGAGATTTCATTAAGAACCGGAAATGAAAAACTAATGGATCGGATTTCTGCAGGAACACACACAAGGGACAATGAACAGGTACACTCTGATTTCATTAAGACATAGTTTAACAGAGTATCTTCTTGATTTTGTTTTGACTTAGACATTATATGTGAACTGTGTATCTCTTTCTGTTATGGAGCTCCGATGGCTTAGTGGTAAGGAGTTGTGCTGCTAGCCGAAAGGCATGTGGTTCCAGTCCACCAGCTGCTCCTTGGGAAAAGTATGGGCTATCTTCTCTCAATTGCTATTTCCTGCCTCTGAAAGCTTCCTGGAGGGTCAGCTCTGAGTCGTATTGGACTCACAGTACATAACTATTCAGATATGTCTTATGTGTGAATGACCGGCTTATCTCTTTCTAATTAGGTTTTAACCATGGAAAAATACTGGTTTTACAAACAAAACTCCATACCCCAGAACTTAGATGTAACCTCTCCTTACAGTTGTATGTTTTTTCTTCTTGGTTTTTTTTTCTTTTTCATATATTTATGTATAATTTTGGTCTTATTATAGATGCCATTTTGTTTCCTTTTGATCACTTAAATAGGACTTTGCTGTTTCTTTCCCTTGCTAGTTTTTTAATAACTTCATTCTTAATGACTATATTTATTGTTCTAGAGTGATATGATTCTCACTTATTTTAAACTTTCTAGTGATTGGACTTTTTAGATTTTATGATAAAAATATTCTTTGAATTCTTGAAATTTTTTCAGACATCAATGAATTGTTTTTATTGCTTGTTAAAAACATGTATTAATTTGATGTCGAAGCTTTTGATAAGCTCCAGTGCCCAATATTCTCTGATCACCTGTGGCATAGGAGGCTGGAGTGGTGCCTGTCCAGGTTTTTGAGTGTGCTTTAGTGTGCCCTTCTGCCGTTTTTCCCTGTTCATGTCCCTGTTTCACTCCATATTGCTGACATAGGTAATCAGCAATAGTTAGACTTAATTACACTAATAACATAACAAAGGGGGAAAGGTGTAGTAACCTAACTTAAGAGAGAGTAGTGTACACCATTAATAAAGAAGTTCCATTGGGTTTTTAAGAAAATCTTCCATTCCAAGAACTTAATCTATTTACACTTTTTTTAGTCACTCACCATTGTTTTTTTGAACTTTACCTGTGTATCTCATTTGAAATTATAGTTATTTATGCTGACATTTATGGGCTCTCTGTTTTAGTCATATCTATAAATTGCTAATACAGGGAAAGAACAATTTTTTTAGTGTATATTTGTTTCAGACTACTGAAACTATTTCTTGGTGTTTGAGTTTTTTCTTAGGTTTTGTAGTTTTAAAGTTACTATCAAATGATACTTTTGTTCTTTCCTTCCCATTACCCATATTTCCTATTCCTGTGGTATATCTTATAGCATCAACTGTAATTCTCAGAGCTATTTGGTGGTGGTAGTGATGGGGTCTACTTCTCACAGAGCTGATCCATCTAAGATTTTCTTTCAGTGAGTAGTATTGACTCTCAAGACCTTAAAGTAATAAGGGTGTAGCAACTCCCTTGTGAATTTCTAGAGCTGTAATATTTGACTTGGAGCCCTGGTGGCATAGTTGTTAAAACTGGTAACCATAAACATCAGTATCTCAAACCCACCATCTACTCTGTGGGAGAAAAATGTGGCTCTTTGCTTCTGTAAAGATTCACAGGCTACATACAGGGTGGTTCTTTTCTGTCCTGTGGGGTGCTTAGTCAGAGTCCACATTGGCATTGGTGTGGATTTAAACTTTCACTGCCACGTCTTTCTTGTACAGTCATTTATATAAGCTACCCTTACAGTAAAAGTTACACAGTATACGTCATTTATTTAGAACTATTGTAGTTTTATCTTTTTGCATGTTACTCAGCTATTGTTGTTAAGTTGCAGCTAGCACATAGCCAGCCCTCCAGCAGGTTTTCAAAGGCTATAAATCCCACAAGAGGAGATTATCCATCTTTCTCCCACAGAGGCACTCTGGTTTCAGGCCACCCGAGAGACATCACCTCTGGATTAGTAGAGCGACTCCCTAGGGAATACATTATCAGACCTCCCTTTTTGCATATTAAAAATGGATATGTGCTTATCAAATATTTCTAATGCCAGTTGTAAAAAGAATATAGGCAGCATGGGATGGCTGTATCTGTCATCAACTACACAAAGGGAAACTGACCTCATCAACAACATCCACAGTACAAAACTAATTTCTGTAAGGTCAGACATAGCTCCCCATGCTGCAGAGGCACCTACTTCTAGTAGTTCCAACATGTCTGACTGCTCTGCCAGGTCCAGAATCCATTGCATTGGCCCCACACACACACTGTACTCCTTGCTTCCTCCTCTTTACTCATAGGAAGGAGCCTACCTTCCTGCTAAATCCACGCAGTTCAACTGGATGGGATAGCAGAAACCGACCAGTTCTGTAATGATTACTTTATACACATCCTGTCTTAAGTTCCCTCCCTGCCACTTAAGTGTTCAAAATTGATGACCAGGGAAACCATTTTGAACAATAAACCCATGATGCCAAACCCATTAGTAATCGGCTTGCTAATATTGAGCTGTCTTTATGCTCCTTGAAGCCTCCTTGGCGGTAGATTATAATTTAACTTTCAGTTGAACTTTACCTACTACTATTTAATATGTTCACAATTCCAAAGAGATTTAGTAGGATGACACTTCCTACTAAGTGGAAACACCTGAGGCCACTGTAAACCCATCACTAAAGATCCAGTCCTTCTAGTCCAGGCCTGCTGCTATTCCCTTTTATTAAAACACGCAGAGGCATTGAGAGGTGACACTGACACAAGACTCTAACTCTGCTTTTTCAAATCTTTATAAAAGACACTTAACATAAGGCTGTTCCCCAAGTTCAGAAAGCGAAGGATGGGGGGTGGAGAATGCGGCTGGTGGATAACTTCTGAGAGGAAGAGTGAGAATGAACACATCCTGCGGGTACCATGCGATAGTTATTTAGCCTAATTACTTGGGCAAACGTAGTCTCAGGTGACCTAAAATTAGAAAGCATGTCAGCAGTGTTTATGAAGACTCTTATGAAGACTCTTAAAATATGCTTGTTTTGTAAAAGACTGTTCAGTATAAACTTTTGATCATTTTTATTGATTGGCTGCTTCACCCCCAGGCATTATACGAACTTCTCAAGTGTAATCACAATACGAAGGAAGCAATCGAAAGGTATTGCTGCAATGGAAAGTCCTCTCAAGGTAAGGTGCACTCTCTGGATCAAGACAGGGAGATGACAGGGGATGGTCATTTGGGGATCAGAATGCGTAAACTATGGTAAAGGACAGAGCAATCCTATAACACTTTTGTAAGATCTGTGTTCATCTTCATAGCAAATAATTTTTTCCTTTTCTTGCCCTCTATTTTTAGACGTGCCAGAGATTGTCCAAATACAAATTAGTTAACCCCCTGTCACCTCCACTTTCTTGAAGAAATAGTTACAGAACAAAGCAGACCCCAGTGATGACAATATATCCAAAGTAATTAAAAAGAATGATTTTATAATTTCATTGAAAAAAGTTGTTTTCTTTATTTTTTTAAAAAATTAAATAGGAAATTAAAAGGAGATTAAGGCTTAAGAAGAACCATATAGTATAATCCACTGAATTTACTGCAAGAAGTATATTTGTAGTAATCATGTTGTATTTTTAGAGTGCTTTGGTTTTATTTGGTATGTGTCAAAACAAATGGTTAACTTTTGTTTCAGTGTTTTTGCTTTGTAAATGGAGTGCATGTACTGTAGCATTCATAAGTATATATAAAATAGAAGTAATACTTAGTAATGTTATACAAAGTACTTGGAAATATGTAAAAGCTGAAAATAATACATACAAGCTTGGAAATTAAGAATAGTCTATTGAAATGTTTCCTTGTAAAAGTTGCTTCTTTCTAAAAATTTCGGCTCTCTGAACTTTCAAATCCTAAGTATTGGGGTTTTTCCTTACTTCACACTATTAATAGTGGACTTCCTTTTAATGCCTTCAAAGACGTATCTCCCATTGTCATCAAACTAGGGATACTTCAGAAGTAAGGAAAAGTTATAAAGCACTCTGTGGCCCTCTGAAGGCCTTCAGAATTTCTCTTGTCACCTCAAGGAGTTTTTCAACCAAGATCTCCCAGGAAGTTAAATGTGATTTAGTGAGAGCAGGGATCGCTTCTTAACCTTGTTTGTATTTCTAATATATCCAGCTTAGAGCTCTGCATACAGATCCTAAATAAACAGACACTAATTATTTTAATAAGACTGCAAGCATGTGGTTTTTAATTAAATAATAGTTTTGGGGTAAAACCAAAATAAGGGTGCTCTTTTTTTTTCCATTTATGGATATAGCCTTTTTACCTTCTGATTTAATATATGCTCATTGTTTAAAAAATAAGAGAAAACAAATAGGAAAATGCGTATATTCTTTACCCTCCATGGAGGAAACAATATATTTGCATTTTTTTAAGCTTTCTGGTAGGAGTCTCACTTTTTTTTTAACTTGAAAGAAGAAAAATTTATTAGCTGGCAACCCAGAGGAACCCTTGTTCCAAAAATCTGGGCAAGAGTCTTTTAGTACTTTTAACTGAAGTCTCCTAAGTGCAGAACAATTTTATGTGTGTCAGTTGATGGCCTTTTACAGGGAAAACATACTGGGGTGAGGGGGAACTAGTAAATCACTTAGCTTTGATGCCAGTGAATTTTGTTCTGAAATTTCTTTAGAAGGAATGACTGCGTGGACGGAAGAAGAATGCCGGAGCTTTGAACATGCACTCATGCTTTTTGGAAAAGATTTTCATCTTATACAGAAGAATAAGGTACATCTTGGGCAAAATAAGCCTCACCTCTTGGCTTTGCGTTAATTCAGACACATAGTGACCCTTAGGACAAGATGGTATCTTTTTTTTCCTTTTTTTTAAAAAAATATTTTAGTATGTTTTGTGCATGTACCGTCAAATCGGATCTGACTGGTACATGAGGAGGTTGTTCTTCCGTCTCCAGCAAAGCATCTGGTGGATTCGAACCGCACACTTTCAGTGCAGCTTCTTGCCACTAGTCCATCAGAGCCCCCCAACAACATGGTATCTTTACAGAAGACTGTTTATCACTCTGTGTCATCAGTTGCCTAGTGGGAGAATGGGTTTGAACTTCTGTCCTTTTAGTGCAGCTGAACGTTTAACTACCGAGTGGTCAAACTCTTTGTTAGGCAAATTGGTAATGAGAAATTACTGTCATCATTATAACCAAAATCAAACCTACAGTAACTGAGTTGATTATGACACATGATGACCCCCAGTTTGGGTTTCTGAGGCTATAACCCTTTATAGGTGATTTACAAATCTATTACCTTTCCAAATCGACTCTTTACCTTCTTGGCTACCGGGCTCCCTAAATAGATGATAGGCACATTTCTAAGATGAGTGAAGGGAACGACAATGTAATGTCCAATGGTGGAATGATGAGAACAGTATCATAAAACAAAGGAAGACATCACGAATGTAGGAGGAATGCAAATGCAAATTAGAGGGAGGAGGGGAGGATGATGTGGTTACATTGGGAGGAGTAGAACTGATGTAGAACAAGATATGTATGAATAGTTGACTGAAAAACTAACTTACTTTGTAAACTCTCACAAATCACAATTTACAAAAGACTTGATCCTGTATTGCTGTTGCTATTGTACGTACTTTTGAGTCAGAACAACTCACAAAGAAGAAAGAATCCAGCAGATTCAAACTGCAGGACTTTGGGTTGGTAGCACAGCTCCTCCTTAACACTAACTATCAGAGTGCCCTATCCTAGTTTAGTGCTTTTTATCAGAATATACTCACTAATTAGGGGAATGATACAGTACCTTCCTAAATGGGTACTGATTAAACAGGGCAGAAAAATTTATTGGATAAAGATTCAGGATTTTGTCTGATCCAGAATGTACAGTTGCACTCATAACTGTGGCTCTATGTCATTAGAGGAACCCTAGTCTATATCTAGAGCCCAGTTAGTGAGGCCCAGATTTTACTGTTGTTCTTACCAAACTCTATTGGAGTTAAAAATCCAGACACTTTTGAGGAAGCAACCTTCACCTAGTGAACTATCTGAAATTCCAGGCACAAGGTCGTGCTGATGCCTTCATCAAGGGTTCTTAACCCCTCTTGGATCATAGAACCCTTTGAGAATCTGATGAGTTTCTGGCCCTTCTACCCAGAAAACTATGTCCCTGTATGTGTAATTTTGGGAATTAAAACCCCCTGTGTGTGTACCTTCTCAGGGTTCAATACATTATAAATTTTTAAAGGCCAAGAACTTTTGGCCTTTAGAAAAGTAGCCTCATTATCACATAAAGACATTTCTGATTAATAAGTGTTTGGAAATTCATAATTGAGAAGATAGAAAATTAGGCTTGTGGATTGACACTATAGTGTTATAGTTTGGTTTTTGTTTTGTGTTTTGGTGGTGGTTTTTTCATATTAACAAAACAGGGAGAATTTGCTGTTTTTCTTTTAAATCCATTTTTTGGCTTGTCAGGTGAGAACTAGAACAGTTGCTGAATGTGTAGCTTTCTACTACATGTGGAAGAAATCTGAACGTTATGATTACTTTGCTCAACAAACAAGATTTGGAAAGAAACGATATAACCATCACCCTGGAGTGACGTAAGTGTCATGGGCATCGTGTCAGTAATTCTTTGTTTTTAACTGTAATGAGCAACCCTAAAATTATTGGGGTATGTTTTTCAGGGACTATATGGACCGTTTGGTAGATGCAACAGAAGATGTGGGTGGGACGGTAAATTCTTCAGCCTTAACTTCTAACCGCCCTGAGCCTGTTCCTGATCAGCAGCTCAACATTCTGAACTCTTTAAGTGCCAGTGACTTGTCAGGTAAAACAAACATCTTTTCTGTGGTTTGAATATAGCTTTGGGCAAAGCTTGTTGTCATAGCATGCTGCTCTTTGGTGCTATTGGGTGTCTCTTGACTCATCGCAGCCCTACATTTAACAAAATGAAATTCTCCAATCCCTCACCATCCCACAATCTCTGCTATGCTTAAGGCCATTGTTGGGAGGCACTATGTCTGTCCAGCTCATTGCAAGTCTTTATTTTCTTTCATTGACCCTTTAACTTTACTGTGCATAGGGATTGGCCCTTTCTAATAACATGCCCAAAGTATGTGAGTAAATCACCATCTTTGCTTATAAAAAGTATTTTGGCTGCACTTCATGCCAGATGGATTTATTTACTCTTTTGGCAGTCTATGGTGCAGTCAATATTTTTTGAGACCACCATAACTCAAAAGCATCAGATCTCAAAAAAAAAAAAGCATCAGATCTCTTTCTTGTTTATTGTCTAACTTTCATATGTGTATGAGGTGATTAAAAAGATCATGCCTTGGGGCAAGTACACCTTAGTCTTTAAAGTGACATCCTTGCTCTTTAGCACTCTAGAGAGGTCCTTGGCAATAGATTTCATGATGGAATACATCATATGATTTCTTGACTGCTCCTTCAATGGATGTGATTTTAGATTTCGAGTTAAAGGAAATCCTTGATAATTACACTGTTTTCTACATTTGTCACGATGTTAATTTGGTCGAATTGTGAGGTTGGTTATTTTCTTCATGTTGAAATATCATTCATACTGAAGGCTGTATCATCTTTGACCTTCATTCCTAAATGCTTCGGGTCTTCTTGGTTTTATCAATTAAGTTTATGCAAATAACACAGGTTGTTCTTCAGTCCTAATGCTACGTTCTTCATATACTTCCAGTTCTCAGAGTACTTGCTCTTCATACAGATTGAATAGATATAGCGAATGAATGCAACCCTCACAACACTCCTTTTCTGATTTTGTACCATGCAGTGTATTTTTGTGCAGTTCAAATGACTGCTTCTTGGCCTATATGTGGATTTTACATGAGCACAATTAAGTGTTGATTCCCATTCTTCTCAATGGTAGCCACAATTTATGATGATACAACCTTTTCGTAAAACATTCTGGTATTCTCTGTTTTTAGCAAAGATCCATTTGACATCAGCAGTGATGATATCCCTTATTTCAGGGCCTCTTCTGTACCTATTTGTAATTTTTGGAAGTTCCAGTTTATGTAGACTGCTCTTGCTGTTTCTGAGTAATTAATCTTCAGCAAGATTTTACTTGCATGTGGTATTAATGATGTTGCTTGATAAAGTCTGCATTCTGTTTGATCACTTTTGATTTTTTTAATATGAACAAAAAGAGAAATGTTTTAGCTGGTGAACTAGTTAGCTGTCTTCCTAATTTCTTAGCACTTAGCTTTATTCTAAATCTGAGGCTACATGTATTTGTTGAAGCACCTCAGTTGGTATTCTTTCAATTCCCAGAGACTTATTTTTTGCCATTGTGGTCAGTGTAGTTTGAACTCCTTTCTTCAGTACTGTTGATAGTACTGAAGTACTGTATGCTTCTTCTAGAAGTACTTTTGAAAGTTGGTTTCCTGGAACAGTAACTCTCTTCCCCCCCCCCCATCTTCTTTTGATGCCTCCAGCCTCACTCAGTGTTTGCCCATGGAATTCTTCAGTGTTGCTATTTGGGGCTGCTTTTCTTTATTCCACCCCACAGTTCTTTCAGCTTGGGAAATGCTGGTGGGGTTCTTCCCTTTTGTTTGCTAACTCCAGGACTTTGCACATTTCCTTATAGTACTGTGCTTTCTCTTCTTGATCCATCCTTAGAAATCTGCTCAGCTGTATTAATTCATAGTTTATTCTTTTCACTTTAGCTTTTCTATATTCCAGAGCGAGTCTCAGAATTTCTTCTTACATTCATTTTGGTCTTTGTTTTTTTCTTGTCTTTTTAGTTACCTTTTGCGTTCTTCATGTGTGATATCCTTGATGTGAGCCCACAGTTCATCTGGTCTTCAGTCATTAGTATTCAGTGCATCAAATTTATTCTTGAGATGGTCTCTAAATTCAGGTGGGATATATTCAAGGTCATATTTTGACTTTCGTGGACTTGTTTTAATTTTCCTCAGCTTCACCTTGAACCTATATATGAGCAATTGATGGTCTGTTCCGCAGTCAGCCCCTGACCTTTTTCTGACTGATGATATTGAGCTTCTCCACCATCTCTTTCCACAGATGTAGTCGATTTGACTCCTGAATGTTCCAATCAGCGAGGTCCACGTGTATAGTCGCCGTTTATGTTTTTTAAAAAAAGGTATTTGCGATGAATAAGTTGGTTGTACAAAATGCTATCACATAATCTTGTGCCTCGTTTATATCACCAAGGCTGTATTTTTCAATTATCAGTCCTTCTTCCTTGTTTCCAACTTTTGCATTCCAATCACCAATTGTTATTAATGTATCTTGATTGCATGTTTGATCAGACTGCGGAAGTTGGTAGCATTCCTCAATTTCTTCATCTTTGACTTTAGTGGTTGGTGCGTAAATTTGAGTAATCGTCTAATTAACAGGTCCTCCTTGTATGCATTTGGATAGTATTCCCATCACTGACAGCATTGTATTTTCAGGAGAGATCCTGAAATATTTCATGCCCTTGGATTACATCATTAAACTGTTTTCTGTTTCTTTGTAGCTTTGACTAACAGTGTGGCGACCGTCTGCAGCCCGCCAGATGTGAATTGTTTGGATGATAGCTTTCCTCCACTGGGCAACACTCCCCGTGGACAAGTCAATCATGTGCCTGTTGTAACAGAAGAGTTACTCCCCTTGCCCAGCAATGGGGAAAGCGATTGCTATAACCTGTTTGAGACTGGATTTTATCACTCAGAGCTAAACCCTATGAACATGTGCAGTGAGGAGTCAGAAAGACCAGCAAAGAGATTGAAAATGGGCATCGCTGTCCCCGAATCCTTTATGAATGAGGTGTCTGTAAATAATTTAGGTGTGGACTTTGAAAATCACACACATCATATCACCAGTGCCAAAATGGCTGTCTCAGTGGCTGACTTTGGCAATCTATCTGCCAGCGAGACCAATGGTTTCATCAGCACCCACGCTCTGCATCAGCACACCGCCCTGCACTCGGAGTGAAGCGGCCGGGAGCTTCGAATAGCGGGTGTGCAGTACCAGTAAACTCGAGGGGAGCTATCAGGTTTGCTTAGTCTTTCACTGGAAGTTTGAACCTTTTTCACTATGACATCAGTGATGTCAGTATGTATAGAACTATATCTTGATTTATCAAGAGTATTTTCATTTTTCAATCCATAAATGTGGAAATGAACTATAATCAGCAGAGTTGGGAACTAAGATTGAACTCTGTGGTGCAGCTTTAAGCTCTGCTTCTCTCTTCCTCACCCCCAGATACCTCCACCCCACTCCCTCTGTTTTCTATTTTTTCTGGTCCCCACTGCCCTCCTTCCCAGTTTAAAACCTGTAGACAGAGGCCACCAGCTCAAAACCAGCACAGAAGTTCTGAACTGAATAGAGTGGCTTCTTTTCATGTAAATTCTTTTGCCGAAATGGATGCAGTGGAAAACAATGTTTACAGGTACCAATCTTGATCCCTGCTTAATGTAGCATTTTTGTTGTTGTTGTTTTATTTTTCTTAATTAAATAAAAGCAGGGGTAGGTTTCTTTAAACTGCACAAACATGCAAGGTTTTTTTCTTTTTTTTTTTTTTAATGGAAACTTCTCTCATGTTATTCAAGTAGAGCACTTCAGTTTACAAAACAGCAAATCCATCTATGTGGAAGCCAGCACAAGGAACTGCGTGCAAATTACGAAGACGCTTGCTTGGATCCTTTTGCAAAATTTTAGACCAGGGCTCCTTTACAAAGAATGAGTCATCTTACTGCCAGAAGATTTCTGTGTAACTTCGTTTATTGGCTAAAAATCTGGCCTTTGGAAGATGTGGTGTTCTGATTGGAGTTTTGTCCACCATTGTCAAGATTGTAATCTTAAAAATCAATACTGGTCATTGTATAATTTAGTTTATCCTGAGGAACAGTCTAAAAAGCCTCAGTTATTACCATTCAGTGGTTTACATTTTGGGACACCCCTTCTGTTGTTTGTAGCACTGCAGTTCAAAGTGTTAATATTTAGGAGGGACTTCTAGACTTTATACATAATGCAGTAGAACCTTGAAGTATATTTAAGCTTTTTTGTTTAGTTTGATCATTTGACAAGAAAAATGTGAGTTCCTATATGATACGGTACTTTACCACTTTATGTTTCAAAAATATGGACATTCAGATGCATCTCAAATTTTATTTTCCAAGCATTGGTAGTGAGAAGCTATCACCCTAAACTTTGGCCATTTTGTTACACAGACTTTTGTATATTTTAAGCTCTAAGGTGAATTTAAACAATATGTGATAAACTATTATAATAAACTATCCTTTCATAGAACATTTAAAACAATTTTACCTTACCCCTCTCCCATGTTAATGAATTAAAAAAAAAATTTATTGTGTTGCTTTGCAAAAAACTTAAATGTTTGACTGCATTGCTGGTATTTGTAAGCATAAGTAGCTTCAAGGTTATGCTGATGAGTAGATAGTATGTAGTAACCTTAGTAGTGATTGAAAGGGAGGGTATTTATTATACAAACTGTGAACTGCAATGACATCCTTCCTTTTGGATGATGTGTGTTCTTGTTTTTCTTTGCAGCATTTTAATGAAGATTGCTTTGAAGTGTTTACGCAGTAGCACATTTACTAGAAAATTTAGTTTAGCACAGTGGACAAAAGTAGTTAAATTAATAACTTAAAAAAACCAGTCTCTAATTTATACATCTAAAGTCTAGCATTCTTTTATGCACACAGTGAATAATGGGTAGCCTGGGCCCTTTTGTTGCTTTCTGATATTTCATCCAAGTTGTCAGCTTCTTATTGCTGTGTTGTTGTGCTAAACTTTGAACCGTATTTCTTGTGTTAATAATCAGTACATTTTGTAAGATACTGGCCATAATCTTCCATTGTAACTTTACTTTTGACTCTGGGTTTACAGTGGCTGGTTTGTATAAAATAATTTACACAAAGATGACTGAATGCTAATACCAGTTGCACTTAAATGAACATGCCCATTCTCAGTAGCTGATGCAGTAATATATTCAGTTTATCTATGCATTGCTGGGATCTTGATATAAGATGGAAACGGTGTTTCCTATCTAAAGTTTGGATTATCAGCAAGTTGAATGGACACTTTAGTTATTTAATAAAGATTTTTGACCAAAATCCAGAAAATGGTATGAGAGAAAAAGAAATTCCAGCTAGCTTAATAGATTTTTAAATACCAACCTGATTTTAGCCTCTTAGAGAGTGCTACCTAGCTGGTAACGTTTACTTTTAATTCCTTGATAAAATGAGGCAATAATTTGCAAGATTTTTGTATATATATGTAAATTCTTCATATCTTTTTAGATCTAATTCAATATTTTCTGACTACTTCTACCGTGTATAAATACCATTTTTGTGCATGCTTGATGTGACATTCATAATTGTACCACTATAACTTTATCCATGTAAGATAGCTATTTATTGAATTTTCTTTTAAAAGCTGGATTTACTGTTGTTTTTCTTTCAGTTTAAGCATTTTAACAAAGAATTTGTTACTGTTTATTAAAAGAATTGCATTTGAGAGCATGAAAATAGCAAATTTGTAATCATATGAAGAAACAATGCCTTTCTTATCAAGTGTTAAGCACAATTCTTGTAACAAACTGTGATGAATTCTTTTTCTTTCCCTTTGCCACATTATTTTCGTATGAACAAACCAAAAATCCATGGTGAGCAATTGCATTGTTGGCTGGTGTGTCTTTTATGTACTGGGAATTTGAAGAGGAGAGCGGATTCATTTAGAAATGTAACTGGTGCTGTGACTATAGCAATACTTTACTTTTGTTAGTCATACTTCATCTTTTTCATTCTAGCTTTTTAAATGTTTAGTTTTCCTCTTGTCATAGTCAACTGCTGAATTTACTTGAAAGATGTAGAATACTGCTTAAAAAAATACTAAAGTGTGTACAATTAGGTCACCTGTTTTCCTTTTTAATTTTTAAAAGGAATTGTGCAATTGTTTCCTTTTTAATTTTTAAAATTGAGGGTCATAAATATTTGACAGTGTCAGATCTAATAGAGCATAGTGATACTATTTAATTTTACCAAAGTCTCTAGTGAGTATTTCAACTTTGAATGTAAACTAACAAATGAACATGACCACCAAGGAGATTGTTTTTGCCCAGAGTTTCAAAGCACATTGTCTACAAATGGAAATTGAAATAATTTATAAGAATATTGACATTGCTATGTTTTTTAAAAAGTTCCTAATTTTTCACTAAAAGGAGGAAACTGTTAGTTTTATTGTTAAATATGGTAGATATTAATATTCTTCTTAGACAACCAGTGATTCCAATTGTCCCAGTTTGAAATAAGTACCCTGTGAGTATGAGATAAATTAGTGACAATCAGAACAAGTTTTAGTATCAGATGTTCAAGAGGAAGTTGCTATTGTTGCATTGATTTTAATATTTGTACATAAACACTGATTTTTTTGAGCATTATTTTGTATTTGTTGTACTTTAATACCTGGTGTACAGTTCCAGAAATAAAAATCTGGAAATCTTTTTTTTTTTTCCTTGGTTCGTGTGAGTATTTGCCCCAAATAGATTTTTTGAATCAACAAATCTTGAGCTATGCCAAATGAGTATTTTACCACTGTTAAATTGGGTTTGCTATCAAGTCAGAACTAATTTACCCTTCAGTGGGTTTTCAGAGGCAGTATATTGCATGGGAGGAGACTGCCCATCTTTCTCCCATGAAGCAGCTGGTAGGTTAGAACGCTTTGCTTAGAACTTCTTTAAGTTGTCTCTGTTGTTATTATGTGCTGTCAAGTCAGAACCAACTTATACCTGACCCTCCAGCGGATCTTTGAGGCAGGAGATTGCCCATCCTTCTCCTGCAGAATAGCTGGTAGATTTGAACCGCACGCCTTGGGGATTGTAGCGCATCTCTGTGCCACTAGGGCCACCAGAGCTCCCTAAATTTGGGTTTAGGTATAATAAATATATAATAGACAAGTCATTTTAGGTTAAATATGCTTTTCTTAACTCCTCTAAAATTGTCTTCTGTCTGTAATAGGGTTAGTACTATGCCAAACTCTACTGTTAGTTTCATTCTGGGAACATTCAACTATTGTGCCTTCCTTAAGAGGACCCTTGGTGGCTCAGCAGTTAAGTGTTCAGTTGGAAATGAAAGGTCTGAGGTTTAAACCCACCAGTACTTCACTTGCTTTCATTAGAACTTTCTCTAGTATTGTTAATAGGCAGTGATCAGAAAGCCCATAATACTCGGATTTTTCACAAAGGCAGTAGGAAGCTAATTCAGAGCAAAAACCTTGACTACTTCTGCCTTGGTTACTCATGTAAAGGCACTTTCCTTCCACGGCTGCGTGAGGGCCTTACTGTGCAGGGCTCTCTAGTGGACGGATTCACAGAAGTGCCTTCAGAGGGGGCGCGTGCACAAGTGTGATGGATACAGCAAGTGCCAGATGAGTACTTCAGGGTGTTTCAGGCTTTTAAGGGAGTGAGGAGAAGCCTCCTGGAAGGAGAATAGTTTCTAGTGCCCTCCAGACCTTTTACATTTTTGTAATTTCCATCAGTGATGGGCTTTTGGAGTCCGCTGTCTCCCTGACTTGTCAGAGGCCTTGTGGCCTCTCTCTATAGACTTGGGCACTTCAGCATAAACACTTGGCATGTCCGTTCTCCTGGGATACAGCACTGGTCACCGCTTCCCATCCAAATAAGTGATCTTGCGATGTCTGTATGGGCTCTCTGTGACAAGGGTACACAGGAGGATTCACTGGGAAGTCTTGGACTAGGAAGGCTCACATGGTTTTCTAAGTTGAATAGATAGCAGTTGACTTTGGAGAGACTCCCAAGTGTAAACCTTGATTTTGATGAGTGCTGGTTACAAGCCAATAACTGCCACAGAGTTGTTTTCTGGTATAGAATAAGCATTTCGTCACAGGTGAGATGTGAAAGCCATTTACAAATTCTAAAAATCCATAAGAAGAAATGAAATTATGATTTTAATGTTTTAAATGTGAATGTTTTCTTTTATAAAAATATCCTGACTGTATCCCTCCAGCCCAGACTGAGTCATACTCCTGCTGTCAGCATTCTGTCAGCAGGAATCCTATTTTATTCCTATAGTACTTCATTCACTAAGTTGACGTAACAGGATCTTCTCGATTAAGAAGACTGATGTCTCTACAAGGTGAGCGAGCTTCCCAGTCATCTTAGGATCTTGGAGACATAACTAAATGGTAAATGAAAGGAAGAATGTCAGAAATATTCTCATGGTTGCAATACACATACATGCTGAATCAGACTACCTGGACAGTCCTATTGATTTAACAAGAAAAATTTCCTTTAGCTGTGAGGCAAATGAATGAGATACTGGCACAAACCCTTGTTGCTGTTTGCCCCACCCATAGCTGACTCTCCAGCAGGTTTTCAGAGGCAGTTAATCACCTGGGAAGAGACTGCATATCTCTCTGTAAACCAGCATCTGGTGGATTCAAACTGCATACTTTACAGATTGCAGCACAGCTTCTTACCACTAGGCCACCAGAGCTCCCTGGCATAAACCTACTCATTCAATAAATAAAGGCTCTTGATAAGCAAGTCACTTCTACCAACACCATCTTTTAGCTAGATTCTCATACTAAAATACCTCTCTTCTTCCTTTTTAGCTGGCAATAGGATTGCGAGGAAGGAGCAGCTAGGTGTTAAATTTTGGAGTTTTTTAATTGTGTATGGAAATGTTAAGGATAAATTTGTATAACCCCACATTTCCCCTACTCAGCTAGAATGTTCTTTAAATTTCAAAAATGACCCATCAGTTTACTAATGGCAATATAAATTCCATTTAAGAATAGATATTTTATTCTGTAAGAACAAAGATTTTACAGCAGTTTTGTGTATATTAACAGTAATGCAAAACCTATTGATGACCTGGCTAAAGTTTTAAGGACTACCACAGGTACACAAAATACACAAAAGAAAAATTATAAAGCAGGTGTTCATTTAGTGAACTGTGTATTTAGGTAAAAGTCAAAATTGAAATAGTGTTACAAATTTGAAATTATAATGAAGCAAACAGTATTGAACAAATACCAGTAAAAGGGAATAAAATTCTACTGTGATTAGGTCTCAAAGTATATGCTATATAGCTGGAACTCAGTGAAATGATTTAACAAAAATAACTTAGCATTACCTACATAGCTGAGGAAGAAAACCTAGTTTCTGACCGCCAGTTAGCTGACAATTGTGTAGTAATTTGAAAAGAGCTCTTCTCCTTGCTTTATGTCCCTGAGAGCAACAAGAACAACACATCGAAGTGGGCTGAAAACAGAAAAAAATGCAGAAAAGTGAGACGTGTTAACAGATAGCTTATAATATCACCAATATGGATGTTAGAGATAGGAGTTTCTCTAGGTAGTGCTGGTACAGAACTGTCTCAACATATGCTGGGCTATAAATCCACTGCACTACCAATGCAGTTCTGTTCGGCCTATAGGGTTGCTATGAGTATAGGTAGGTATAGATTGGTTTGCTTTTTTGGGTTTGGTTTTCTGGGTTGTCGTGTTTTTTCTTTTTTCTTTGTATTGCACTGTTTTTTTCTTTTAAAAATACTGCTTGCATATTCTCAGTAGACCTTCTACTTTAAGAGTAGAAAATGTATGCTGTGTTAGAAATGTGTATCTTCTGGATACATCCTTTTTTTTAAGAATAGCATAAGCCAGAAGATTAAAAACTACTCTTGTAGAGGACTAACCTTTGTTTGTTGGAGCTATAGGCAACGTTTGGAAGATACTGCATCAGTTCCACAGGAAAAACTGCAGGCACATCAAATTCCTGATAACAGACATTAGCTGCTTTGTCTAAGGAGGAAACAGAATTTTTTAGAAACAGTGCAGTGATTCAAGGTCATAGATAACAGTTCAGGACTAGGACACTTTCGGTGTTCTCTAGCTTACCCGAACATGTCAAACAGTGAACATATAAAACAGGGCAGAACTGTTCTCCAGGGTTTGGAAGGCTATAAACCTTTATAGAAGCAAAACGCCATATATAGGTATGGCTGGTGGATGGAACCTTTTGGCTCGCAATGGAAATGCTTTAGCCACAGTACCACTAGGCAAGTGGAGGAGGTGTATTTACTCTTGACATCAGGCAGAATCAGAAGGTCCAAAGGTTAAAAGCTTAAATAGAAGAAGCATCAGTCTTCAAATTTGTGCCTTCATGTGTCTGTCTCCCTAAAGCAATGCCTGTGCTATACAATCAGATGATATTATGGGAGGGCCAAGTCCTAGAGGAGGCAAGCAACTTAACAAACTCAGCAAAAAAAGGGCACTACCAGTCTGGTGCTTCAACGAAAAAGTTGTATTGAAATTGTGGCTAACTAATCTTTAAGTATAAAGCAATTGCTAAAATAATGATCAAAAAGATCACTGTAGAGGTTGGTGATATTTACTGTCAACTATGACTCAGTGACCCTATGAACAACTGATTGGAAACCTTCTCCTCTCCTGCACCATCCTCACAATCTCCAGCCAGCTGGAGCCCACTGTTCTAATCACTGTATCAGTCCATCTTGTCGAGTGTTCTACAATCCCTGCAAAATCAGAAAACAATCCATTTTTAAATCCCAGTTAATATATATCATTAGGAAGCTCATGTGGCTTAGTGGTAAGGAGTTGTACTGCTAACCAAAAAGCATGCAGTTCAAAACTACCATCTGTTCCAAGGGAGAAAGATGGGCAGTATCCTCCCATGTGACTCCTGAAGAGTCAGCTTTCAGTCAATTCTGACTCAGTTATGTTATAATAACAACATATATCATCATTTCCCCAAGTTCTTCCTGGGATAGCTACCCTTCTAGAAGATCTGGTTAAGGGTTTTGAATAGCTATTAGTTCAACTGCTTTTGACAATCATATAGAAAAGGAGAATTAACCACTGCCACAGGCACCATGATGCCAACTCTTACCATTTGAACAATTGTTAACATACTGTCCAATGGCCAGTGGATTGGACATTTCTGAAGTCAGCCATGTACTGTCACTCATTTTTAAAGGACCAAGTCGGTCCCTGCCATTGCAAGATCTGAAAGAGAAGAAAACATTAACTTCTGTATCTTAAAACTAAAAAAAACCCAAAACTTTAAAATACAACCTTCAACTACACAAGGGCAGTAACTCTTAAAAAACTTGTCTAACCAAAAGAGCTACTGAATAGCTATGTAAATGCTACCTAAGTAAATTTGTATATTTAAAATACAAACATTATTGTCATGGAAGGAGCGCTGGAAGACTAAAGGGTAAGGAAGTGCACTGCTAATCAAAGGTGGAGTGCCTCTCTGGCAGTTTGAATCCCCCAGTGCTCCAAGCAAGAAAGATAGGCAGTCTTCTGTGAGATTTTATAGCCTCCCAGAACCAGTCAGCTATGTCTGGGTTCCAACCCAACAGCAATGAATCAGTGAGTGGTCACCAACGTTACAGGAAGAATGGTTCTGTCTACTATAACTAAATCTGAACAAAGGCAGCAACTTACCTGTACACTACTTTTGATATTCCTTTGTCATTTCCATCAACGAGTACTCCATCCAGGCATCTAAAAATAAATGGATTTCCAATGGACTGGAAAAAGACTGGCTCATAGTTCTGATAAACTGTACCTGTTACATACAAGACAAAGACATTATGGAAGTGTGTAAAAATGATAAACATAATGGCCTTTCTCCGAAATATGAACATAAACGTAAGATGGAAGAGCTTAATTCTCTTTTTCTAACATTTCACTTTCAATGTCGAGAATGAATAGGATGACTGAAGAATTGATTCATTTGATTTGTTGTGTTGGAGAAGGGCACTGAATATCCCTTGGGTTGCCATAAGAACCAATTTCTTGGAGGAAGTATACTCAGTCTGCTTTTCAGAGATAAGGCTGGTGAAACTTCAGCTCACACACCTTGGGCATGCTGTCAGGAGAGGCCAGTCCTTGGAAAAAGACATCATCTTGGGAAAGGTAGAAAGAGAAAAAGAGGAAGATCTTCAATGAGAGGGATTGACACTGGGGCTCCAACAATGAGATCAGGGCACTGAATAGAACAAGGTTCCGAACTGTTGTTCATAGGGTCACTATGAGTAGTAGTTGATTCCAGGGCACCTAACAACAACTGTTGCTGTGTACAGTCAAGTCAGAACCCACCTGTAAGTGACCCTCCGGCGGGTTTTCAGAGGCATTTAATCACACGGGAGGACACTGCTCATGCTCCTGTGGAGCGGCTGGTGCATTCAAACCGTATGCCTTTGGGATTGCCGCACAGCTTCTTGCCACTAGGCCACCAGAGCTCCTAGTAACAAATCTGTTATTGTTATGTGCCCTCGAGTCCCTTGCGATTCATAGCAACCCTATGTACAACAGCCCTAAACTCTGCTCTGTCCTGTGCCAATCGCACCGTCTCTGACACTCCCATCGCAACTATCCCAGTCACTGAATCAATCCACCTCATAGAGGGCCTTCCTCTCCTGCGCTGTCCCTCCACCCTCCCAAGCATGATGTCCCTCTCCAAGGACCCTCCTTACAACATGTCTAAAGTATGGTAGACAGAGCCTCAGAATCCTTGCCTCCAAGGAGCTACCCCGTTTAACCCTTTCTAGGATGAATATGTTTGTTTGTCTAGCAGTCCATGATACCCTCAATACTCTTCTCCAGCACCACAGCTCAAAGGCATCAGTTCTCCTTCTATCCTCCTTGGTCATTGTTCAACTCTTGGATGCGTAACAAGTAATTGCAAAGACCATGGCCTGTATCAGATGCACCTTAGTCTCCAGAGAGACACCATTGCTCTTCAGTACATTGGAGAGGTCCCTAACGGCAGACTTTCCCATGTCAATATGCCTTTTTAATTTCCTGGCTACTGGTGCCAAGAGTGTTGACTGTGGAGCCAAGCAAACTAAAGCTGTGAACTAGACCATCAAATTTTCTTTGGGTGTTGTGACCCTTTAAAAAGTGCCCAATAACTAAGGGAGCACAGAGCCAACTTGTCCCCCCACACTGAAGACTCAAATATACTATCTTGGTTAATTAAAATGTAAACATTATGTTTTATATAGAGTGTTACAAAATCATATTTTTTTTAAAAAATGCAGTTTGATTTGACAGCTATCAAAGAAATACAATTTGTTAATAACAAAATATTATCAGCACAGATGAGTCTGACAGGTTGCTTCTCCATTCACTGGAAAAGGGAGAAAAGATGAAAATATTTGTTGCTTACTTCCCAGCAGCCCTGGTGGGTATACTAGCAAAAACGTTTGTCTGCTAAGCTCATGTTTGTCTGGAGAAAGATGAGAAACTCTACTTCCATATAAAGGCTGGCAACCTTGGAATCCATACAGCTCAGTTCATCTCTGCCCTACAGGGTTACCATGAGCAAGAATCAACTTCTTATAGTCGCTTCAGTTTGAGGTGCTCCCCAAGAGCCCAGTAGGTTAATTAATGTACTTAGTAAGCTATTTTAATGTTAATTTCTTTGCTTACTTTATGTTAAATGTTGTTGCTCTATACTATGGAGTTGGAACCAACTTATAGCTGACTCTACTTTTCAGATACTAAAATTGCACAAGGGATTTTCCATCTTTCTGCTATGGAGCAGCTATTGGATTTGAACCAACTGCCATTGGGTTGAGAGTGTAACTCCTTACCCACTACGCCATGACTGTTCCCTATGGGTTAAATGTTGTTATGTGTTGTCACATTGCCAGCAACTCATTGCAACTCTATAAACTATAGCTCTGAACCCTACCCTATTCTGAGCAAATCTCAGTCTCTGAAATACCAGCCCCATTGCCCCTGTCACTGTCATGCAGCATCTTCCTTTCCTAAACTGACCCTCTACCCTTTCTAGCATGATGTCCTTCTCCAAGGACTGGCAACATGCCCAAAGTATGTAAGAGATGGAGTTTCAAAATCTTTGCCTCCAAGGAGCAACCTGATTTCACTCTCCCCAGGACCTGTGAATAGTCAGTACATGAGAAAACTGAGATTCACTTGCTTAGAGATGAAATTAAAAAGTAGCACTGTCACTCTTTAAAACATATTCATACACATTTTCACCACACCAAATTACACAGTTGAACAAATAACATATTCTATTATGCATTCAAAAGTCCATGCCCTTTTGCAAAGAAGCTGATTCCCCTTCCAATCAAGTATATTAATGGCCTAAAGACCATTTAAGAGGCTTAAATCTATCTTTCAGCCATCCCTTTACTTACTAATTTAGCCAGATTTATTCTTTCGTTCTTTGTAAATAATCTATTTTATCAAAGTTGGACATGTTCTTCTAAATTTAAACAGTGGCTAGCAAAATTTCTTTTTAAAAGGAAAAAAAAATAACAACAACATAGAGCTGCATTGGCCTAGCGGACAGAAAGTTATGCTACCAAGCCCAAGGTGGGTGATTTTAATCTGCAGTCCTCAGTCCTGGTTCAAACTGTTTCTCTGTCAAGCATTCTTCTGGGTCGTATAGCACTGGTCTGTGCATTGCTGTACAGAGGTAAGTCGTGGCTGCTGCAATGCTAACCACTGTGACACTGATGTACCAAATGTGATGATGGACAGTATTTGGTGGAGCTTCCCAATTAAAACAACCTTGGAAGCAGGAGTGGTGTCCACTTCCCAAATGGCTTGCCTCCAGAAACTCTATGAACAGTGCTCAGGCCTTTCGTTCATAGGGTCGCTATGAGTCATCTACGACTCGACAGCACCTAACAACAACAACCCTAAAAAAATACTCCAGAATATTATTATTTATAAGCAGTAAATTTTCTCATTATCAGCAACGATTTATCAACAATCTGCGTTATGCGGATGACACAACCCTGCTTGCTGAAACTGAGGAGGACCTGAAGCACCTGCTGCAGAGTGTCAAGGACTGCAGCCTACAATATGGATTGAGGCTCAATGTCAAGAAGACAAAGATTCTCACCACTGGACCAATTGGCAGCATCAGGATGGATGGTGAAGAGACTGAGATTGTACACAGCTTTAGTTTGCTTGGCTCCATAGTCAACAGTCTTGGCACCAGCAGCCAGGAAATTTAAAGGCGCATTGCCATGGGAAAGTCTGCTGTTAGGGACCTCTCCAAAGTGCTGAAGAGCAGTGGTGTCTCTCTGGAGACTAAGGTGCGTCTGATACAGGCCATGGTCTTCGCAATCACCTGTTATGCATCAGAGAGTTGGACAATGACCAAGGAGGATAGAAGGAGAACCAATGCCTTTGAGCTGTGGTGCTGGAGAAGAGTACTGAGAATACCATGGACTGCTAGGAAAACAAATAGATTTGTCCTGGAGAGGGTTAAACTGGGTGGCTCCTTGGAGGCAAGGATTCTGAGGCTCTGTCTAACTTACTTTGGACATGTAGTGAGGAGAGACCGGTCCTTGGAGAGGGACATCATGCTTGGGAGGGTGGAGGGACAGCGCAGGAGAGGAAGGCCCTCTATGAGGTGGATTGATTCAGTGACTGGGATAATTGGGATGGGAGTGTCAGAGACAGTGCGATTGGCACAGGACAGAGCGGAGTTTAGGGCTGTTGTACATAGGGTCGCTATGAGTCGCAGGCGACTCAACGGCACATAACAACAACAACAACAAATTTTCTCATTAGGATTTTTTAAAACCTGTGGAAATTTTCATTTCTTTTTCAAGCCCTTTACTCAGAGGACTACAGCATTAAACATTTTATTAAATTTCTATTTATCTTTACATAAAAACTCTTCACAAAATTGGGCTATTACCAGGATACATAGACACAACAGTGCCTTTTGGTACAAATCCTTTAGTAACGAAGACACCTTTTCCAGCAGAAATCAATGAACTAGTTGCTCTGGCAATACTGAAACCCAATGTCTTATAAAGAACTTCCTCTGGTTTAAAAATACGTTGCTGTTGTTGCTGTCGAAGTCTGTTATCAAGTAGTTTCACTCTTTGCTGCTGAACGGCCAGTAGATCTTGATATTTCTTTTTAACAGGTTCTGGAAGCACAGCCAAGATATCTGAATGTCTATCGAAATCATTTAAGAATAGAGCCCGGAAAAGTTTCAGTAATGGTCCTAGGACCTCTTCATCTGGTAAAATTTTGTCTTTGGATTCTTCTGGAACATAACGGAGGGTCCTGAAAATGGGAAAAGTTTCTATTCACTACCCTTCAAGTTACAAAAGCCAGACTTTCTTGATGATAGAATTAAAGAACGATAAGGTCGATCACATAGGACTGAAGCAAAAAAAGTTTGGAAAACAACCGTTTGGGATAGCTCTAGTTACCTAACTTGCAACAACACCCACACAACAGCCAGCATTTGCAAAAGGCCCATTTCTGTGACAACTGCTACTGGGTGTTTACATACACTAGCTAATTTTTGCAGACAAGGAAATGGAGACTTGAAGAATGTTAAGTAAACTGCCCAAAGTCCAAAAGCTGGCAGAATCAGAAATACAGCTCAACTCTCTCCCTGGCTAAACTCACTGACTCCCAAATGTGATCACCTGGCAGACAACCTTTGTGATGGCTCTTAAGCAGGCATGTTTCAGAGACTAATTCAAGCCAACATGTTGCCACTGTCTTGTCAAAGAGTACTTTTTTAATGACTTCATTTATATTTTCGAAACTGTTATCCACGCTTTTAAAACAGAATGAGAACGATTCTCAGAGTACTAAAAAAAAAAAGGCAGCAAAACCTCAAAGGCATTGCCATTAAGTCAGAACCGACTCGCTGTTGACTGTTCAGCTGGTTATCACAGGCTGTAAATCACACAGGAGGAGACTGCTGCCATCTTTCTCCTGCAGAGCTGCTGGTAAATTTGAACCATATCCCTTTGACTTGGCAGCGCAGCTTCTTACCCACTAGGCCACCAGAGCTCTTTCATACAGTACTATGGAGGCTAATTCCTAAATCCTGTAAGATTGAGCATTATGTAGACTTCTGCACAGCGCGGGCTATGCATTTTTAAAACACTACGATTCTTTAGTTATTTTATGTTGCCTTTGAGGGACAGCGCAGGAGAGGAAGATCCCGGATGAGATGGTTTGACACAATAACTGGGGTAATGTGGGCAGGTGTATCAGACAGTGAGGTTGTCTCAGGATAGTGCAGGGTTCAAAGCTACTGTGTGTGTATAGGGGTCGCTATGAGTCGCGCGTAGTTGGTTCAAAGGCACATAACATCATTCCAAGTTGAGCTGAATTGCTTCCACCACAAAATATTTGAGAAGTTCAAGATTGCTAACCATCTCTTAATGGGGAGACTACACACACTTGGCACGAGTTCTCTGGTCTTCTAAAAGTTTGAGTTCTGGGAGGTACAGGGTGTCATTAAACGCTCCAATGAATAACGTCAGGTACAAAACCAGCCCTTCGCCCAATTCCCACCTGCTCGCTGCCCCACCTTTCCCGGACCCACAGCGCTGGTGTCCTTGGGAAATTTGTCTGTAGGCCCCGCCCACCTAGTGGCCCGCCTCTTCCTCACGCTTCAGGCCCGATGGAGAACCACAGGTTTGGGCTCCGCCTACTCCACGCCCACCTGTCAAGCCTCGCCCGCCTCGGATTGAGCCAACTTCAGGATCCGCCCAGCTTGGGCCCGCCCATCTCTGACTCCGCCCGGGGAAGGGAGGCCTCTAGCTTCAGGCTCCGACCCACTCTGCTCTCAGCCGCCTCTGGCTCCGCCCACTCGGCCTCAGCCCTCCAGGCCGCTCCAGTCTCTCTACCAGCCTGCAGCCCCGGCCGTCCCCGACCCTGTCGCCGGGCTCCACTCGCTGGAACCGCTGGCTGCAGCGCCAGCCTGCTCACCTGGGGTTATGGCTAAGGTTCAGGGCGATCCAGGGTACGAAGCGGTACTTGTAACGGCGCCACCGCTGCCACAGGTCCCGCAGCAGACGGGCGGGCATGGCTGCCCCGCGCTGCCGCGACGAGGAAGGCGCGGGAGTGACTGGCTGCGTTCTTGGTCCCGCCCCGGCCGGGGAGGAGCCGTGGCCGCGCTGGACCGCCTTCCCCAGGTCCCCGCTCGGCTCCTTTCGCCGGATTGAGGCCCTTCGCTTTAGTAATCTCAGCTTCCCGGAGTCGAGGCTGGTGGAACCGAAGGGCCTTGGCCTTCCTCACCTTTCCTCCCTCCGCTGACCCGTGTGTGCTCAGGCCTCACTGGAGTTCCTGGGGTCTCCTGCCTTGAAGAGCTCAGAAATGCATTAGCTGGTTCTTGCTCATGGCCTCCCCAAGCCTTCTGCTACTGATCGCGGATTTTGGTTTGCATCTACCAATATTCTGCACCTCCTGTCACTACAGCACCTCTTCAAGTTTGCTTTTTCTCTTTATATCGATCTTGCTTTCTTCCTCTGTTACCTCTGTGCAGCTGGGTTTTCTAGAGCGAGGTTTTCAGGCCTACCCTAGACATCAGGCTCTTAAAACGAGAGTCTCAAAAATTTACATTTGGGGAGTTTGCAAATAACTACTGTTTTTAAAAGTGCTAAGTGCCCATTGGAGACAAAGATGATAAAACTTTTTATCATGTTGCCAGGAGAGATTATTTGGAGAGGAGCATCATGGTTGGAAAGGTGGACAGATAGCAAAAGAGAGGCAGATCCTTAACCAGGTGGATGGACACAATGATTGCAGCAGTGGGCTAGAGTTTATGTCAGAGATTGTGAGGATGGCACAAGATGGGACAAGGTCCACATCTGTTGTCAGAGGGTCACTATGGGTCGTACTCAACTCGCTGGCACCTAACAATTTTTTTAAAAAAATACTCAGTTGAACGTTGCTTCTGCTTCATAGGTATGCTATGAAGCAGTAAACTGCCATATAGGCTTTCATTGTTGTTGGTAGGGGCCTTGAAGTTGGCTAGGACTCTTGACAATCCTATGAACAGGTGGGAACCTTGCTCTATCCTGTAACATCCTCACAATTTCCTCCATGCTTTGTGCTCATGTGTTACAGCTGTGAGGGTCTTCCTCTTTACGCTGACACGCCACCTCTCCCAGCATGTCTTTTTCCCCAAGACTGGCCCATCCTGACAACATGCTGGAAGTAGGTCAAGTTTTGCCTCCTTATCTCTAATAGGGAGCAACTTGGTTGCACTTCCTTCAAATTAGGTTTGTTTTATTTTGACAGTCCATGAGACATTCAGTACTCTCCTCCCAACACCACAATTCGAAGGCATCAGTTCTTTGGTTATCTTTGTTTATTGCCCAATTTTCAGATGTATATGAAGCAATTAAAAATACTATAGCTTGGATTGGGTACGCCTTGTTGTAGTTATGTGCTCTCAAGTAGCCAGCAACTCATAGTGACCCTATGTACAATAATAGCTCTGAACCTTGCTCTATCCTGACCTAACCTTATTGTCTCTGACACACCTACCCCTTTATCCCAGTCACTGAGTCAATCATCTAAACAAAGGTCTTCCACTCCTGCACTGTCCCTTGACCCTTCCAAGCATAATGTTCCTCTCCAAGGACTGAACCCTCCTTGTAACATGCCCAAAGTATGTCATACATAGCCTCACAATCCTTGTCTCCAAGGAGCAGTCTGGTTTCACCCTCTCGACGACAAACCTGTTTGTTCTCTTAGCAGTCCTTGGTATATCCAATACTCTTCTCCAGCACCACAGCTCAAAGGCATCAATTCTCCTTCTATCATCCTTAATAATTGTCTAGTTTTCTGCTGCATAGCAAGTAATTGTGAAGACCATGGCCTGGACCAGGCACACCTTTGTCTCCAGACTGACCTCATTGCTCTTCAGTACTCTGGAGATGTCCTTGAAAGCATACTTTCCCAATGCAATTTGTCTTTTGATTTCTTGGCTGCTGGTACCAAGAGTGTTGATTGGGGAGCCAACCAAAGAAAACCTGTTAACAATCTCAACCTCCTCATCTTCTACCATGATGCTGCTACTTGGCCAGTGGTGAGAATCTTTGTTTACTTGATGCTGAGCTTCAATCCATATTAAAGTTCTTGACTTTCTGCAGCAAGTGCTTCAGGACCTCCTCAGTTTCAGCAAGCAGTTGTGTCATCTGTGCACCACAGGTTGTTGATGAGTCTTCCTCCAATCCTGATGCCAGACTTCTCCTCAGAGAACTCAGCCTCCCAGAGAATCTGTTCTGTGTATAGATTGAAAAAAAAATATGGAGATAGGACACATCCCTGGTGTATACCCTTCCCGCATGCAGTGTCTCCATGCTCTGTTCTGATAACTACATCGTGGTCCAAGTATAGGTTTTGTATAAGCACAATCAAGTGTTCTGGGATTCCTGCTCTTCTCAGAATTAGCCACTATTTGTTGTGATCCACACACTATGCCTTTGCATAGTCAATGAAACACAGATAGACATTCTTCTGGTACTGTCTGCTTTCAGCCAAGATTCATCTAACATTAGCTCTAATATCACTAGAACCACGGCCTCTTCTACACCCAGACTGCACATCTGATAATTCTCTGCTGACATACTGCTCCAGTCGTTTTTGGATAATTTTCAGCAGAATCTTGCTTGCTTATTGCGTCTTGCTTTATATTAATGATATTATTTAATAATTTCTGCACTCTGTCAGGTCACCTTTCTTTGGCATGGGAACAAATAAATATCTCTTCCAGTAAGTTGGTCAGGTGGTTGTTCTCCAGATTTCTTGGCACAACTTGGTTAGCACATCCAGGATAGCATCTGTTTGTTGAAATATGTCAATTGGTATGCTGTCAATTTTGGGGGTCTTTTTTTTGCCAGTTCTTTCAGAGCAGCTTGAATTTCTTCCTTCATCACCACAGGCTCTTGTTCCATACATTGTTTCATGAAATTCTTCTGCATCAGCAAGTTCCTTTTGGTACAATGACTCTGTATACTCCTTACATCTTCTTTTAATGCTTCCTGGATCATTCGATATTCTACCTATGCTGCTGTTTTGTTATTGTTATGTGCCTTCAAGTCACTTTTGACTCATGATCCCTAAACCCTGCTCTATCCTGTACCAATCTCACTATCTCTGACACACCTACTCCCCATTACCTCAATCACTGCATCGATCCATTTCATAGAGGGTCTTCCTCTCCTGCACTGTCCCTTCACCCTCCCAAACATATGTCCCTCTCCAAGGACTGGTCCCTCCTTGCAGCATTCCCAAAGTATGTCAGATCAAGTTTCAGAATCCTTGACTCCAAGGAGCAGCCTGGCTTCACCCACTCCAGGACAATCCTTAAATCACTACAAATACCCAAGAAAAAATGAACAGTGACCATACATATGGACCTCGCCTGATAGTCTACACAGGAATCAGATTAAATACATCTGTGGGAAGAGTGGATGGCAAAGTTTATTATTAGCACTCGAACTAAGGCCACAGGCTGATTGTAAACAATCAATTACCCATGTGCAAGTTCAAGTTGAAGCTGACTAAAAACAAGTCAACAATAGCCAAAATAAGACTTTGAATTTATCCTAACTGAATTTTTTTTTTTTTTAGAACATAATTCACTTTATTTGTTATAGAAAATCCACTAGTTGGTGGCCACAGCTGGAGCCTGAGTCCTCTGCACGGAGACTCTGGTGTGAGTCTTTACAAGATGATCTGTGAATTCCTGGTAGGGAGACTTCGTGAACACCGTCTCTTTCCAGAGATTTGGGGTCAGATAACTATAGGTCTTTGAGATGGCATCAAAGGTGGCCTTAGCAAAGTTGCCCAGGGTAGCTGTGCAGCCCCTGGCTGAGGTGTAACAGTCATCAATTCCAGCCATCATCAACAGCTTCTTAGGCACAGGGGCCGAGACGATTCCAGTGCCTCGGGGTGCAGGGATCAGACGCACCAACACAGAGCCACAGCGCC